GATTTCAATTTAATTCAACCCACCACACACACACACGCACACAAACACACATACACAAACACACACACGCACGCACTCACACATTTGAGAATGTGCTTCTGTTGACGTTTCGTTGAATGATCGTCGTTATCGTGTGTGAGTGAGTAGATGAGTGAGTGAGTGAAGAATGAGTGATTTAAAGTGAGAAAATTTTTAGTGTTTTGGTGGGTAGATGAATGAATGAGTATGCGAGTGTTTGAGTGAACTAAATACTAGTTTGATTTGATGGTGATGGTGAAATGGTGAATGAATGAGTGAATTGAAACGAGTAAGTCAATAGATACCATTATGTTAGATGTGTATGAAAGTTAAAAATTTGAAATTGTCATTTCTTGGTGGAAAAATTGGAGAGTGAAATAACAGAGAGAGGAGAGACAGAGAGAGGAAGAGAGAGAGAGAGAGAGACTACAAACAGCAAGTTAACACATCAAGTGTGATGACGAGTTAATGTGATGAGACTGCAAGCTGATGATGTCATTCTATGATTCTATGTTGATGTGACTATGTCTTAATGTTATGACATGGTGGTGATGTGAGGTTAATGTCATGGTACGCTGTGATAATGACACATCAATGTAACAATGACGCTGATGATGACGACGACGATGATGACACTGAGACAGTATGATAACGCAATGATGACCAGACCTAACTAGCTAGTCATTACATTCTTTAATGACAATAGTTCAATCTCGAACGGCTTCAAGTTTTTATAACACTAATTATACTAATGACTAGTGGTTGTTCAAATGTGCAATATAATATTACCGTACTGTATTTGTGTATGAATGGGTGTGTGTGTGTGTATGTGCGTGAATGTATGCGTGCGTATGTATGTAAATGTATATGTGTGTGTGTGTAGATTATTTACTAAATAAAATTGATATCAGGTCATAAAAACTATAAAAATGTACTTAACTTTATTAAAAAAGTATTTCAGCAAGCAGAGCATATCAGTGATGTCACGAAAACGCATGAATTCATTATTATTCTCCATTCAATCAATCATTCATTTGTGCGTATGGTTTTAATGGCCGTTCAATACACAATAGGCTAATCATGGCTACACTAACGCACACGTACAATTAAAATTCATCAATAAACACCAACATGCGAAAAATTATTTTTCACCGACATGTCATGCGCAAAACATACGCGCACACGCACGCAAAAAGAAACTACACGCACACGCAGGCACACACATCCTTCCCGACACACCAATACGGGATCATTTCAGAGAGATGTAACTTGTATACAACGAACACACGACAACAACGACGACACTGAGATAACACACACCACACCACACACCACAAGACATCACATCACAACCACACAATAAAGTACATGTGAGTTTTATAACGCACCTGAGTTGAGCTGTAGTGTCCCGTTGTGTGTGTATGTGTGTTTGTGTGTATGTGATGTACTGTAAGTGTAGATGCAGTGTGTATGTGTGTTTGTAGGTGTGTTTTTGAGTATGTGATTGCTTTCGCATGTGACGAACTTTATGTCGGTGTTTTTTCTATGTGGCATGTGTATTTTTTGTGTGTTTGCACTCGCATGTATGCGTAAATAGCGCACAAACAAGCGTGATGAAAAAATTATTGGTGAACTTTATCCCGTAACGATAAGAAAGGTTAGGAATTGAAATATAATATCGAATAATATTGATTGAAAGTACATATGAGGTGGTAGGTGTTGATCTCACTCTGTTGTGTTGATATGCGTTTTGCTTCTGTTTGTTTGTGGGAGTTTTTTTTCAAATCCATGTTTTGATAAAAATTTAACAATTGTAATCGTATGTCATGTTCGCGAACAAGTTTGATACAATTTTTTATGGATTCATAAACCTGTGAATAAGTATGTGTGTGTGTGTGTGTGTGTGTGCGTGTTTGCGTGTGTGTGCGTGTAATTGTTTGTCTTTGGATACAGATGTGTTTTTTATGTGCAACATTTTGTATGATCCGCTGACAAGGATCATGATGATTGGATGTTACAAATGGAGACCAAGTGCACGATTGATCATTTATAGTTCATTCATTTATTTATTCATTCATTTATATCTTCAATCTTTCGTTCCTTCATTCATTTATTCGTGTGTAATTCGTTCTTTCATTCAGTTAATCGTTCGTTTGTTCGTCGTCTCACATATGTACTACGACACACTTAGCTGGTGAAGTCTTGCCTATCCTTTATATCACATGTAATATAATCATATATGTATCATTATATATATATCATATATCATCCACTCATCATATATCTATCATCACATACAATCATTTATTATATACTCTTTACTTAAATTGTGTACATGTATGTTATAGGCATAGCCACTCTTATTCTTATGTGATCCAATTGTTTGTTGCTCATTTCGTTTCGTAAACACACAAACACACAAATTTAACACATTTTGAAGTTATCGACTGTTTCAGACATGCTTTTTATTAATAAAAGTGTACTTCGCATATTTTGATGAACTACAGTGCAACTGAATGTCTAAAAAGCAAAATGGCTACGATACAACTGACGTAAAAATTAAATTAAGGCGGGAAACATTTGTTAGATTGTTGCAATGTTGATGGGACAATGTTTTGTTTTAAAGAGAAACCATGGAAGTCAAACTTAATTTTGAAATTCGGTGGTTATAATTAAAAATTGTTCATATGTAGCTTTACACACTGTGAAATTGTTTAACTTAAGCTAGCTATTACAACTCTTTTGCATTGTTTGACAAAATTGTACATAAATTTTTTTCTACAATAAACATTTTTTAATAGTTTGTTTGATTTTGCTTCAAAAACATTGTTAAAAGTTTACAAGCATCTTAACGACTGATAAAGTTTTGAAACGTTTGTGAAAATAATTTTTCTCCACACAGGATAACCAGCAGCAGCAGCAACCCACTGGACTGCATGAACAACATGAAACACCACCCCCTACAACCACCATATCTAAATTGGCGCATACCTGTATCTCCGTGTTCATCTTCATCATCTTCATCATCGTCATCGCCATCTTTGCTGAAACCGATCTCATCATCGTCATCAACAACATCATCGTTATCATCATCGCTGACGTCATCATCGCATGATCACGAGAAGTTTCCTTCAGATAATCATCATCATCTTACCTCTCCTCCCCCGCTCGACTTGATTTCCGGATTCAGAATGAACCATCAATTACTCTCCTACTATCAACAACTTTATCACCATCAACGTCAACAACAAGCTTACCAAAACAACTACATCAACAACAACAACAACAACACCGTAACAGATATTTCTCGAGCAAACAACAACATTGATGTGCCGGACAACAACAACGCAACAGATAACAACAACCTTAACTCTAACAAAAAATACACCTCTAAGGACGATGATAACAAATTGAAGATAAAAGATGCAGAGGCGGAAGTGGGGAGAGCAAACTTTGATGTTGACCAGTCACGTGATAAAAGAAACAAGAAACGAGTCTTGAACGGAAGTAGGAGTGAAGCGCAAAAGAAATTAAAACTCGACAACAACAACACCATCACCACCAACAATAGCAGCAACGATAATAGCAGCAATGGTAACAAAACAAACGTTAACTCTATGAAACCGAAACTAAGAGTCTGCTGTCATCTCCAGAATAGAACTGACAGTGACGCTGCAAAAGGTGAAATTGATGAGGATAATGATAAGAGCCATTTTAATTGCCACCAAGCAACCGATGAAGATTGTGGTGATGATGATAATAATAAAAATAATGATAATAATAATAACAATAATAATAATAATAATGACAACAATGATGAGGATGATAAAGATAAGATCACAATTGAAACGAAACTTAATGAACAACAAAAAAACAACAGCAGCTTCAGCAACGACAACAACAACAGCAGCAGCAGCAGCAACAACAACAACAAAGACAGTTTACAAAAACGACGCGTTGTAAAAAATTTATTTGAAACTGATACGAATTCAAACGTAAGAAACTTCATCACAAAATCAAGCAATGATGAAGACGATGAGAATGATGAAGTTAACGATGATAATGTGATTGTTGATGATGAACGCTTCGATGATAACGAAGATGATGTGGATGACGAGAACCACAATAGCCACAATTATGACCTTGCTATTAATAACGCTGGTGATTGCAATGGAAAACCGGTCAAAAATGAAATGAAGATGATTAGAAATAGTGATGACACTGCTGATGATGGTAGAATCATTGAGGAGTACAGTCCAGATGATAAGCGGTCATCATCATCGTCATCGTCACCAGCTGATCATCGTCATCATCATCATCATCAGTCATCACTTCAACGACAAACAGTGCACAACATCATGTCTCTAATAAACAACTACAGCGATTCCAGTAGCAATGTTCATCTAAATTCAGGTTGTCATCCTCATCATCCTCATCATCCTCATCTTCTTCATCAACAATTTTTAAACAAAACCATCAACAACAACAACTTAACTTACCCGTACGCTTTCAGTAACAACATCAACAGCAGCAACATTACTAACATCAACAGCAACATCCCAATCATGGCCAACAGTCAATCTGTCAATCATCTTCTCAACTACGTTCAACACTTGAATCCTGTTGCCAACTTTTTGCCGCAACCTCATCCTTTTTTTGTGCAACAAAACAATTTGTTGCAATCTCGTCTCGCACAACTGGCAACAACAATCCAACCTTCCTTCGACAATAAGCTAAATACATTGACTTCTGTGGCAGATAACAATGACGACATTCAGCAGCAAGTTCAACAACCTCAATCTCCCTTCATCAACGTCAACACGAAACAACGTGCCTCAAAACAAAAACCTTCCCAGCAAAACAACCAACAACAACAGACTAAAACAACACAAAGTAAAAAACAACAACAAACAACGGACAGCAACCACCAGCTACAGCAGCAGCAGCACACATCAGACATGGACAGCAACTCATTAGATGGATACCTGGAGAGACGCCGGAAGAACAACGAAGCGGCCAAGAAGTCACGTGACTTGAGGAGGTTGAAGGAAGAGCACATGGCAAAGAAGGCCAAACTGCTTGAAAATGAGAACGTCATGTTGAAAGCTCAGATTCGAACGCTGGCAGACGAGTTGAACAAGCTGCATAACTTACTGGCTGGTAAAATGAATCCTAACGAGTATTGATGGTGAAGATGATGAGGATGAAGATGATGAGGATGAAGATAATGAGGATGAAAATGATAAGAATGATAAGAATGAAAATGATGATGATGTCTTACATTGAATGATGAAATATTTTGGGATGGTGTTAAAGGTGGAAACGACGTTAATTATGGTATGGATGATGATGATGATAATGAAAAAATAAGACGATGAGTCTTTGTGCTAATGATGATAAAAATGGTGGCGCTTTGCTCAATGATTTGATGATTGGAACGACGACGACGAAGATGATGGCGGTCATCATCATTTTGGTAGTGAATACGCAGCACTGTCAGAGTTTTTTCTCACAAATCATATCCTTGCAAGACGTTGCAATTGCATTGAAACCTTTATGCCACAAGGGGGCCACTGTACCTATTTTACCCCCCCCCCCCGACGTATGCACATTATTATAAAGGTGCAAGCACCGCGGTAAACATACGCCAGCAACGTAGGTGATGATGGCAAAGACATTGACAATTGGTGACGACGACCACGATGATGACGATAGATGCATTTGGATGCCGTGTGACTGATATGTAAATTTGATTAGGAAATTATTATAGAAAGCTGAACTTGAATCGAATTGTTTTGTAAATGTCATGATGATTCAAAATTTTGTTATATATAACATGACATAACGAACGATTTGACTAACAACAACAGCATTATTATAACAGCAGCAACAACATCAACAACAAAAATAACACCATTATAACAACAACAGTCCTAGCAACAAATCAATCAACATCTACCTTACTTGCTTGCAAAATTTTAATGGAAATATTTTCGATGATGTTAATTGTAATGAAGATTTATTAAATTTGCTATTTTTAAAATACGTTTTAGGCAATTGTCAATTAAAAAAAATACATATCGAAAAAATACACACACACATACACATTTTTGTTATATATATATATATATATATATATATATATATATATATATATATATATATATACATACATAATACAAGTATATGTGTTTGTGTGTATGTGTGTGTGTGTGTGTGCGCGTTGGTGTTATTCATCAGATATTTATTTACACTTTTTTATATACCTATATTTGGTTATTTTATTAAACTTGATTATATGTGAGATTGTATTGAACAATAACATCAATGTAGAACATAAACAAACAAACAAACTATATATATATATATTTATATATATATATTTATATATTTAAATATATAATAATGCCAACAATTCGATAGAATTCATACAATACTGTATAAAATATGTTCTACTTCATATTAGAAAATTGATAAATATATATAACATATATATATATGTTATATATTTCTGTATATATATATATATATATAATATTTGTGCCTTTAATATTAAAAATCAGCCAATATTATATAAACGTTATATTATTTTATTTTTGCCATATTTGATCTAATCATTAATTTATAAATATTTGTAGTTGCCTCTTTCTTACGTGTCTGTTTTTATATTGATTTTATATTTTGGTTAAAAATATATATTTTGTTATATTTTTAACAAAAATGTTTTAATTCTGCAAACAACATCTAATATAATTACCTCATTATAATTTGTAGTGATAAATAAATATATATATATTTATATTTGTTTGTTTATTCATTTGTTAATCTTTCTACCCATCTTAAACATTCTATGTGGTGTCCAGTATTTGATTGTTTTTAAATAAAATACCAAAAAAAATTTGTATTGAATTTGTTTGTTACATAATAAAAGTTTGATGCGGCTGGTAGTGTAATGGTTAGAGTGCCTGGTCTTTGTGTTGTAGTGACTGGCTTCAGATGCATTGAGATGCATTATTTCATGCAATATGTGTGGTGTGAGATCTTTGGACTCACGCAAATTCATCGTGCGTTTTGTGTTTGTTGTTGATACTATTGAAAATTAAATAAGAATTAATTGTAGAAAATTAAAAAGAATAAAAAAAATTATATGGAAAGAAGTCGAATAACTTTCTATAGAACTCACCAAAACAAATTTTTACAACATATATTCAAAAAACAACAACAGAGCAACATTACAAACGTGTGTGTATGTGTGTGTGTGCATGTTTATTTGTGCGTTGTGTGTGTATGTGTTCGTGCGTGCAATACAATCAGCAATTATTTGCATGCGTGTAAAAATAGCAATCATTTAAAATACGCCTTTGATGACACAACTTATGTAAAATGATTCGTCCATGAAACCACCGTGCGGGAAGATCCAGTTGTTATTGATATTTATTTATACTTTATTTTTTGTTGTTGATGTTGTCCACGTTGTTTTTGTTGTTATTGTTGTTGTTGCTGTTTTTGTTGATGTCGCTTTATTGATGTTAATGTATACATGTATGATGTTATTTGTCAAATTGTTGCTGCTGCTGTTGTTGGCATTAATGCTTTCAATCTCGTTGTAAATTAATGTTTGTAATGTTGTTGTTGTTCTTAGTATTATCATTGGTGATTGACATTTCAAAAATCTCGAGTTGTTAAACTAGTTTTATATGTTCATTAATTCGATAGTAAAGTTATAGATGTAAAAAAAACTAATAATACACAGGCTAAAATTTTTGTTTGATTTATAAAATTTTAAATCCACCATTAACCCATGCCAATCTTAAAGGAAATAATTCTCTAGCACGTCCTTCTGCACAAGTCGCAGATTGCTTTCAATCATGCATGCAGCTGCAGACAGCAACTTCAAAGAAGAGCCCACGTAACCAAATAACAACGTGCAGTAAATGAAACAATACATTGATCCAATCGCACAAACAAACAAACAAGCAAACGAACAAACAATTACAAAAACTTAGCTACTGGTGCAGTCTCAAGTTGTTATTACTAAGAAAAAAATTATCTAGTACAAAAATAACCCACATGTTATTTGGGATTTGTTGCTGTCTTTCATATTTAATCGGGGTTCTATTTAAAGGTTTGTTGGGTTATGCTACTTATTAACAATATTTTAAAAGAGAGACAATAGCAGATTGGAAGTGGGTTCAGAAGTTGGTAAAAATAAGTTAGAAGCAAAACAAGATAAAAAAAACCCAGAAAAAACGGAGACTATATAAAATTATTAAATAAGAAAATCTTAACTCTCATTTTATGGGCATGCAAAATGACGAACGAAAGCCAGATTACTAGCAGGACCATCATAGAAATGAATGTAAAAGATGTGTAAGAATTTGTAAAGATTTCGTAAAGGTCAGTGATTCTTTACAGATTTTTATATTTTAAAAATGGATCAAAAAACAGTTTTGAAAGAATAAACATTATGAGCACATTAATGACACGTTGTCACATCACCACATCAATAAAACTAAATAATTACATCACAACTCTGTTTGAAGACTCAAAAAATCACATCCACAACAACAATTACACATCGCATTAACAGCACATACACCAACAACACAACATTAACACAACATCATCATCAACAGAACATTAAAAACAACACAATACCGTACATTACAACTGAACACAACAGAACAACAAAACAGATTACGACACCTAAACCAGAAACAATATAGATCCATTGTAAGATAGTCGCCCTATTATCAACATTACGTAACTATTTGTTGTAACACATGAATACATGCAAACAAATTCATACATACATATATGCATACATACATACATATTTTAAATACATACATACATACATACATACATACATACATACATACATACATACATACATACATACATACATACATACATACATACATACACACATACATACATACATACATACATACACATACATACATACATACATACATACATACATACATACATACATACATACATACATACATACATACATACATTATGTATGTATGTATGTATGTATGTATGTATTAAAATTTATATAAAGCAAAATATATCGTTGTTGT